ATGGATCCGGCAGCACGGAAAATAGCTGCCTCGGCATCTACAGTTGGGTTCAGCACATGAAAGCAAAGGGTTACTGTCAGATTTTACCCCCGTGGCACCCAGACCAAAGATGTTCTGCTGCAGGTGAGCCAAGAACCAGACCAGGACACGCAGAGCATTTCCTTTTCACCACCAAAGGCACATCAGATCACAGGAGAAGTCAGCGCTCGGTGATCTCAACACACCCAGTGTTTGCCTCTTTCACATCCCCAACAACGATGAAAAGAAATCCACAATTTTTATTCAGGATAGACCCGAGACAAAGCAGATGAACAAGGCGAAGAAAATTAACAGAAAAATAAATATCAAAAATACCAGAAGCGGCAAAACATGCGCTGAGGAAAGCAGAATGTTCAGCAAGGGGTGGCAGACCAAGACCTAAGCCCCTTGCTGTGAAACCGGAGCCTGGGTGCCTTTTGTAAACAGTCAGACTCCTGACTCTGCCTTTTCTCTGTTTTCTTGGAACCATTCCACTTCTATAAAGTTTTAAAGCCTTAAAAATTAAGCCATTCCGAGGGTAACACTGTCACTGGCAGTTTTCCATCAGCCCTCTCCAACTACACTGTAAACAATCGCTTCCTGCCTCTGTTGTGCAATGATTCGAAGATGAAAACAAGCTGTATTTACTTTCTCCAACCGAGCAATCCCAGCCCTGACCCAAAGCAACTGCGTGGGCTGCCGGCCCTCCTCCTCCTCCTCCTCCTCCCTCTCCCTCCTGGCTCAGCTCTGCAGACCGGTCAGCTGAGGGAGCAAAAGGGCAGAGGAAAGTACACAGAAACAAGGAGCACTTGCAGTTGCCTGCACCAAACTGCCTCACCCCCCTGCTTCCCTCCTGGGCTATTTTAATCCTGCTTTCTTTCGACTACACTGAGCCTCGGATTTTGTTTTCCTTCTGGCTCATACAAACCTGCAAAGGCAAACCAGACTCTCCTGACTACAATAAGCCGATTCTCACCAGTTTAACGGACCATAGCTCCTAAGGGTTTGATTTAGGACTTTACTGCTTTTGATACGTAGCTTAGGAGAACACGGCAGGGTCCCAAGCGAGTATCCCAGGGCATCCAGACTTCATTTTATTCCTGTTTGTGCACGTTCACTTGGCTGCCACAGGAAAAGGCTGGGTAAGCATTCAAGGCTGTGCCAATAAATTACCAAATAATTGCAGTTTCTGGGAGAGGAGCTGGATTCAGCAGCCCATGGGGGAAAAAGCTCAGATTTTACCCGTGTTCGGGCAGCAGCTGACACCA